CAGTATTTGCAGTTTGACTCCCATCACCCTTTGGAGCACAAGTTAGGCGTCATCAGGACTCTGTACCACAGAGCAGACAGCGTCCCCACTAGCTCAGGAGCCAGGCAGAAGGAGAAATCTGGTCACTCTTTCAGGAGCTATGTTTACATGCGCAGAATTCTTTGACCGGATTGAAATGTTTTCAGATTAAATAATTCAAATGTATTGTTTACACGGGCACAATCTGTTCATGATGAGTGTTTACATGCAGCAGGCTTTGTTCTGAACAGCAGTACTGACATGCGCAGAGTGGTAAACTCTCCTTAAAAAAACCACAGAAGAAGAAGTTCTACTTCCAGTTTACTTCCGGGGTGAACGTAAACAAAGCTGAGCACCAAAATGGACCTGCGACAGGTTTAAATGATGGTGGAGACGTTGCTGCACTCCCTGACTGAGCTGCAGGTGATACAGATCATTTTGAGCTCTTTCAGAGTTTCTAGTAGAAATGTTGTCGCTCACCGACCAGTTTTACTTCCCTGACATGCTAATATTATTAGCATTAGCCAGGCGGAAATGGCAAAGTGGCACATGCACAGTCAGGTCAGTTTTTCACCATCAGATAAAAACGAACAGATCAAGCGTTTACATGCGCACCCATCGGGTTATGAATCGGCGTAAACCACCCGTTTCGTTCTGATCACAAATTATATCGGATCGCGCCAAATACACAAAAAATAACCCCAACGGAGAGTTTACATGACTCACTTTTATTCCGACCGGCCATTTGATCCGGTTACTTATGTCCACGTAAACATACCCAGGGATGAAGATGTGCACATCCTGGATGGAGAGGAACAATGATTTGAGAGAGGAGTAAAGGAGGCCATCTTTGTGAAAAGAAACCGTCCATGAACAAAGTCCATGCTCAATAATCCAGGTATACAATCCAACATTTTTCAGTCAGGTCATCTGGACAGTTTCTTTTTTTTTTGTGCTGAAACGTTTCACCTTCAGTCTGGAAGGCTTCATTCAAGGAAACACACAACAAAACTGATCCTTTCCCCAACAGCTTACTCCAAAGTGGAACAAACCAGTTCTGCTTGTCATAAACTGCAACTGCAACTGGCTGCTTGACTTCCTTACCGGAAGACCACAGGCAGTACGGGTTGGCAGCAACACATCCAGCATCATCACTCTGAACACGGGGGCCCCACAAGGATGTGTGCTGAGCCCCCTTCTGTTCACTCTACT